AAAGGAGGAACTACTTAGTCCCGCGCCCCCAAGTGGTTATCTGTGTAATATGTTTATATCCTTCAGCTGTTTCGCGTTCTTGTGTTTTCGATTTTCTTTCTTTTCTCTCTTGACCTTTGAAAGTCAATGACAGAGAAAAAAACAACGGTGTCACTACCAGTGGCGTATTTATAATTCCATTTATATTTATGGCTGTTAAGTTGCAGTGAGTGTGTGGCAATATCCCTGTGGCAGGCGGATTCCAGATTCTCTCCCTTGCTGCGCTCAGGATGTTGCTCTTTCCAGTAGTAGTAAAATTGTCCGTTTCTTGCCTACACCTTTCATCCTAGTGTTCAAAGCACCACCTTTCCAACCTTGCAAATTACCATCACTGTGTTTTTACTCAAACCGTTTTCTTCAGCTGGAAAATCTGTCTCTCCCTCTCTTTTCCATAAATCCCAAACTCTGACCTTCACAGAAAAAGATCCTTTAACATATTAAAACCAATTTTATGTGGTATATGATTGGGTTGCAGTCTTGTCTCCTCTAATCATTATTTATTAGAGGACAAGACACCAACACTAACAGCAACACTGAATTCTACTGTATAATTGGCAACCAATTGTTATATAACTGGTGCCCAATATCTTTAACGCATGGCTTCTTTACTATATTTTGAATTATTAAATACTTAGTACTGAGGCTTATGCTGGCAAAACTGGTGCTCAGTGAATAATTTCTGAATGACCACAATTTGTTCCAAATCCCCTAAAAATACAAATTTTGGTATTTGGACAATCACTAATTGTGAGTTGCAACTTTAGCAAATAACTAACCAGATAGGAAACTACAAGTAGACAGGGTGACTATCCTGAACAGGCCTATTTGTTTATTCTATGTCATATAACATTCATTCTCCAGTTTATTCATTCATTTGATTGCTCATTCGTTCAACAAACATTTAGAAGCGCTATGTGCCAGACTCTGAGTTGTCAACTTTCTTCTTATGGTTTGACACGAGTAAATTGCATTTCTGGAGCTCTAACGTTCAGTCCCCACCCTTTGTTTTATTGGAAACTGTCCTAACTTGAGTCTTCAGTCCTCCTTAGGGCCCAAGGCAAGGAGAATAAGAATACCTTTTAAGATGTTCGTTAGTTCTAGATGCCAGCAGAGTTTATTCATCAGAACCTAACTGGAAAAAAATGTGCCCTGGACACTTAAGAAATTTCTATTTCTCCCAAGAATGAAGAAACTACAAAATATAACTCGTTAGGTAAAATAATGTAACCACTTCAGTTTTCTGGAAACCTCCATCTCTACAGTTACCAAGAGGTCTGTCGCTATGCTCACCTTTCCTACTTGAATTTACTACAGTTATTATCATTTTAGGGCTTTTTTTTTTTTCTTACTCCTACTTCTCTCTAGTGATTGAAAGGGTTTGTCTTTTACTCTGCAGGTGCCACTAGAGTATCACATTTGCCCTCCCAACCATGATACAGGAGGACTGACGGTAACGAAACTCAGGATATCAATTGCCCAACTCACAGTGAGAAATGTCTCTATCCTGGTGAGAGGAATGTCTGTGCTTTCTCTCCAGTGTACATTCTCCCCTCATAGGTGAAGCATAAGTAGTACATAGGTGGCAGCAGGGCACAGGGAGACAGAGGACCTTGAAGAACATTTTATTCCAGCCACAGTAAATGAAGAAGCCTGGTGACATATCCTTCTATACAGAACCCTAAAGACCCCATTACCCATGTTCCCCCAACTTGGTGCCCAGGGACACTCGAATTTTCAGATTTTCAGAAAGTTCCTAGAAAAATGCAACCCCTTTCCTGGACTGAGACATTCTCTCTGTAGAAATGTTAATGAAACTGATTTAGCGCTAGGTAAATCTTTCTCAGTGTGGCCTGGGATTCAGTTTTGACTCTATCTGATATTCATCAAATCTCAGTCATCCTGAAATGGCTTGCTATCACCACCCACAGATCACAGCATTCCATTTTCTTCTGGCAACAGATCTTAAAAAACAAGGAGGGAGAGAATGCCAGTGAGAGTACAGGGGGTGGAAGAGAATTCTACTACAGTCACAGAGATGTCGGAAATTTTGGTGCCTGACACCCTCTTCCTACTTATCCCATTAATTCCAGCTCTAGAAAATTCTGTCCATATATATTTGCCATCACTAGTTGCTCCTATCTGATCTCTATTAAGAGAAGACTTAACGCCCTGAGATGTTCCCAAGGCAAAACCCCTCCTTATTAGTGCATTTATTGTGCAGTGCGTGGAGCGGGAAGTCTTTGAGGCCAATGGATCTGCACATAGGTAACTATTATCAGACAAGACCCTGCACATGATTTTCCTTCTTACTGACTCTGTGGGGAAAATTCTCCCCAAGGAGCCCATTCTTTTTAGAGGCAAGGCAGCCCATTAAAAATGACTTTTCTCACCTAATGGAACGTCTTCAGTTGATTCTGACTGTATGCCTGGACTGACTGAGCTGGAAAGAGGAGTTTCCAGGAGGAAGGAGGTATCTGAAGAGGAGGTTTGTTGAGTGAGACCTTCAGGCTCACAATAGTGATTGAAATCCAAAGCTTTTGTTTGTTTGTTTGTTTTCCATTTACTATCTCTGCAGAAGAATAAGAAACTACAATACAAGGCCTATGGCTAAAACAACCTCACATGATTTTGTTTTTCTTTGTAACTTCTCTAGATCAATTCAATAAACATTCATTCTTCTATTCATTCAAGAAATATTTATTAAGTATCTACTGATGGTCTGATATTGTTTATCGTGGAAACACTTTGCTGCCCCAGCAGGCTCCGGTTTCACGGTAACCCTTCTGTTGCTTCCTTGGGCTCCAGACCTAGACATCTAACTGCCTTCTGATTGACCGTCTGGGTGTTCTCAGCTCTTTCAGCTGTGTTCAAGGCCCAGCTCATTAGCTTTCCTCACAGACCAGGTTCTCTTCCTGGGTTTTTAGTCTTTAGTTAACTGGTAGCATCATTCACCACTCTGGCTAGAAATTGGAGGTCACATCTGTCTTTGATTAGACTTCCCATCTAATTTATACCCAGTCCTGTCATTCCTTTTGTGAAATGTTTCTGCAGTCCTCGTCGTCCTCTCCACCATCACTGCCAACAACTTATCTCATGCTCTCTTCACTCTTGCCTTGTCCGTTGCAGGAGTCATCCTTTTAAAACACAGATCTGAACTTGTCACTTCCCTCTCATCACTCCCCACTGCCTATATGATAAAGACAACCCCAGGCTCTTCAAAATATTACCACAGCCTACTTTTCCAGCATTCTCTCTTTCCCCTCTTTCACTCACTCCCCCTGAAGTTCCAAACCACACAGGATTAACCCACTATTCCTTGCACCTGATACTGCTTTCTTGTTTCTGAGTCTGCTTTTCCTGTTTCTCTCTGGTGAAAATTTATTCAGCCTTTAAAATCCACCTCAAATGCTACATCCTCTGTGCATCTTTTCCAGACACCTCACAGGCCAGTGGTTCTCAGAAGAGGGAGGTAGCTGTATTGAGGTACATCACAGTCAGTGGAGAAGCTTTTAACATAACATGTGTCTTTGAGAACTACTGTCCCTGTTGGCCTTACGGTTTCTCCTTTGTTCGACCTTCTCTTCAAGCATTGAAAAAGTTTTAGTTCAGTAGCTGCTTGCTACACTGACTGGTAGACTCTGTGCTTCTTGAGAGTAAAGTCTAGGTATTCTACATCTACAGCACATAGTAATTGCTCACTTAATGCATTTGTATTCTTCCCAACCTATGACATTCCAGAAACACTTCATGAGGGTCTTGCTGAGAGAGAAATAGGGTGAAATGGTTCTTTTCCTTTTATAGTTTTCCCTCGCTAGTGCTAAAGTAATTATTACGAGTTTGCTGAACTATAAGGGTAGCAGGCTAAAATAGCTAAAATATCAGGAAGGGTGTTCATAAGGTTGACTTGAGACAAAACCCTGAAATGAGGGGCTGCATTTGGGTGCTCTCATCATGCTCTTCTTCCACTCTCATCCTAATTGTCTAATACTTGTTTCCTTCTCTCACACTATTGGCCTCCCATCTGGATTTTTTCCTTTTCTTCCTTCACCCTCATTTTTCTTGTGCTCCTGTCCTTCCGTTTCTCCCTTTTGTGGGCGGTTCTCATAAGGACTCTTCCAAACACTTTCCAGAATTTATTGGGCAACCAGTAAGTGGCAGACACCGTTCTGGGCCAAGGTAGCCAAGTGGAGCCGGCTCAGAACGGCACTTCAGAGTCTGGGTGGGGAACTTGACAATTTTTATTGACAAATCGAGGGCTATTTTGTTTACAAAAGCAAAACAAACAAAACCCCATTCATCTGTGCTCCACGTAGTAGGAAAGAGTTCCCCGTTCCCAACCCTTCTTAAGCCAGAACAGGGGTCTCCTAAGAGGAGATTCAGACAAGATGGAGACTTCTTTTTAAGCTAGTAGATTTCTCAATATGCACACATAAATCATGTGATCCAGGCAAAGGACAGGCCTTGGAGACAGGACAAGGGGAGAGATGTGTTCTATCTGAACGACTGAATCAGAAGTCTCTCCCCATCGTAGCCCTCGTTCTTTTTTTTTTTTTTTTTAATTTTGTAAACGAACTGCTTCTTTTCCTTTAGGTGAGGCTCAGAGAAACCGGGAAAAGCTGAAACAGGCGAAGACAGACAATGAATAGATCTGGAGGACTGGACCCTTAGAGAGGCAGAGGAGACACTGGCAGGGGGGGCGGGCGGGCCAGGACAGACCAGCAGACAGCCACGCAGGCAAGCAGGCAGGCAGAGGGCTTGGCGGCGGTCGCCTCGGACAGCCGGGGACCTCCAGCGCCGGAATAAGGAGCCTGGGTGGGACCGAAAAGGCGGGACCCCGCTTGCAGAGAGGGAGTGATGGACAGTCGGTGCCTTCCAATCGAGTCCTTCAAAGTGCGCGGGGCAGGCCAATGAGCGGACAGCTGGGGCCGGCGCGGGGCCGAGGTCTGGGCGGAGGGCTGGCTGGCAGCGGCTGGGGCCGCGAGCGGGGATCGCGGCGTGGAGGTGCTAGCAGACGCGGGCGGCGGCGAGTCCGGAGTCCCCGGGCCGGAGCTGAGCTAACCGCAGTGGGGACCGGGGCCCAGAGCCGCGGCGGCTGCGGCCGGAGGACGATGGCAGCGCCCGCCGGGGCCGGGGCACTGATTGCATTCCCAGACCGCAGGCGCTGGCTGTGGTCGGTGCTTGCGGTGGCGCTCGGGCTCTGTGAGTGAAGCCGGGATGGCGGGGGCGGCGGGGCCAGGTGGCGGGCCCTGCGCGCGCTGGGCGCCGAGGTGGGGAGGGGGCGCGGCCTGCACGCCCCGGGGCCCGGGGAACGGAGCCGGTGGGCCCCGCGACGGGCTGGAGAGGCGCGGAGCCTCTTTCTTCTTCCTGGATCCCTGCGTGTGGAGGAGACAGGGAGAACTCCCTACCTTGCTCATTCCTGGGGGGCTGTCTGGGGAGCGGGCCCGGCGGGAGGCCGCATTGCGCCCTCGCTGAGTCGCCCACCGTCTCCGCCTGGCGACTCTGGGTCGCCCAGGCCCGCTTGTGATTCCGGTTCAGGAACCCGGGCTTCTGGTGTTCTCCACCTTTGGGAGGTGGCGGAAGGTTGCAGGGTTTTCATTTGTAGGGCCTTTGTTGATTGTTTCCCTTTTAAGCGACTGTTTTGTTTTACCTTGTTAGTTCCATTTCCAGTGCTCTCCAGCCCATTTTTTAAGCCTCTGAGATAGAAGGGTCCCGGAGTCTCATTTGTCTCATCTCTGTCCATCTGCAGAGCACCAGGAAGAAATTTACATTACTTCTGTGTTAGGATGCAAAGAGCTGGGAATACCACTGGAGTGACCTGGCTTAAAAGAGTTTGGTCCAATCCATGATAACTACAGTCATAGTCACCGTAGTTTGACAAGACATAGGACATTAAAAGGCTCATTTTTCTTTAAAAAAAAAAAAAAATCACGTTTTTTTCCTTGCCAGATTTCATGAGTGAGCCATAAAGTAAACCTCAGGCTGGATTTATTGAATTGGATGAGTTGCTTTACGGACATCTGCAGTGGTGTCTGCCACAGGACTTTTTTTGTGTGTGTTGTTCAAAGCAGAGTACTTGTTGCTGTCTCAGAATGTGGTTAAGTAATGGTTATAAAGGGAGCCAACTCCTAAAAAACCACGGAGACTTGTTCATTTCTTTTGTTTTGCAAAATGTCAGTTGCATGACAGTATCTGAACATGAGTATACTCAGTAATTACTTTCATGGAAAAGTTCTTAATGTAATCTTTGGAGCCAGGAAAAATACCGTTTAATGAATGATTCCAGGAGCTGTAAAGTATAAACGTAAAAGTCCCCCCACCCTCTGGAGGTTGATAGATGAATATGTACTTTGTATATATAAGACAATCCACTCTGTATAAATGTCTCTCCTGAGGGGGAAAAAAAGGGTTAAAAAGCATGGGGTTTTTTTGGTGGTGGTGGTGGTGGTGGTGGTGATGGTAATATTCATCTTTTAAGTGAAGGAGTAGGAAATAGCTTAAAACTAAGGTGTATCAGAAATCTTGTGTGTTCAGACAGAATTATTATGCATGAGAGGCAGACACCCAACTTTACTGAGGACAAAAGCAGTCAGATTAATCTTAATTAAACTCAAGGTATTAAAAAGTAGCAGAACTGAAAAACTGAATATTAATGGATACTAATACAAAAAGATCATCAGAATTACATCTATACACACCTTGGACATACGTAGCTCTTCCGTAATGAAAGAAGAATGCTGATACATGAAAGTCAGCAGCTGATGTTACTGGTTAATTTAAGAAAACGATTGAATGTTTCTTCTTTCAAGCTACCTTTTCTTGTCATGAATAACTGTACATAGCAGTTCATGTTTGACAGAAAGACTTCTCAAGTTTGATCTAGATATAGTTATTCAGCAAACATTTACTAAGCATTTTTTAAGTATTAAGCACCAAAAGTATTCTAGGAAGGACAGTCCCTAACCTCACATAATTTATCGTTCAGTGGGAGAAACAAAGTGTGATAAACAATATGGGAAGTCTTTCATTAATGGTTTGCTGTGAGAGCACTAAGGAGAGTCATCATCTCAGACCGAAGTTCAGGCTGGTAGAGAAAGGGATGCTTAAGCTAAGTAGGTGTTGGCAGAAAACAGTATAGGCAGAGTCATGAATGAACCTGTTGGTAGGTCAGTGTCGTGAGAGGTTGGAGTGTGTATAGGAGAGATGGTGGGAATTGAGGCAGGAGAGCCAGCCAGAGGCACTAACTCCTAAAGGACCTTGTTTGCCATTCATAAGGCTGAATTTTATGCTAAGGGCTGTGGGGAGCCTGTGAAGGATTTCTGTGTCTATCGAGATGTGAAGTGTGGGATAGAATGGTGTGAGGCTGAAGAAACCAGAGGGTTATTGTAGCAATCCAGAGGAGGAGGATTGAAGACCCGAATTAAAGCAGTGGGATATGAAGAGAGAACATATCCATGAGCTTGTTAGAAAGTGAATTTGGTGGGGCTTGGAAGTCAATTTGACGTGGACTTGAAAGAGAGGAGTGTAAGATGATCCTAAGGTTTTGAGCTTGGAAAGCTGGGCATAGTTTTGGAAAGTAGGGCTTTTCGCAGATGAAGATTATGGATGAGGGGAAAGGAGTGTTGGAAGAAGAGGATGGTAAAATTACTTTCAGATGTGCTGAGTTTAAGATGCTGCTGATATATCTCAGTAGAAATGGGACATTTGGGTAGATAGTTTTAGAGGTGAGGAGAAAGTTCTGGTAGGAAATAGAGAGCTGGGAGGCTTTATGCGGGTAGTAGTTAAAGCTATGGATTGCTTGGATGAGGTCAGCAAGGAAGAGTGTATTGAAGGAAATAGCAGAAGGCCAAGGACAGAGTCTTGGGGTATACAGAGCCTGACAAGGAGGCTCGTTGAGTAAATGAAGAGCCCGAAGAGTGTGGTGTCTTGGAAACTGAGAGAGAGTGAAGTTTTTTTTTTTTTTTTTTACATCTTTATTGGAGTATAATTGCTTTACAGTGGTGTGTTAGTTTCTGCTTTATAACCAAGTGAATCAGT